TTTTGAAATATAAAAAAACATCCTCTTAGATGGCTGTTGTCTATCAGGATATAAATCTAAATAAGTCTGAGCTGACCGAATTTCATTCCTATAGCATCTTATGTACACATCATACATATCTTTCTTCTCTTCTTCAGTATAACGAACCATAATATTTATTTAATTTTAAATTATTTAAAGCTAAAAAGTACTGTAATATTAGATGTTACAGATTATAACAGAAATATTGGTGATAAGTTACAACTGACATGCACGGCAAACATGATTTTGTTAAGATCTTATGTATGCAAAAATGAAAACAATAAAGATAGAAAAATTACGGTGTGAGAAACCTAAGCGAAAGATTTTATAGAAAATCAGATGAAAGGAATTTATAGATTGCTTGACCGTTTTGTTTTTCATTTTATGTTTTTGTTATTAGCTTTATTATTTGTAGAATGTGTACAACCATAATTCGTTCTTCATTAGTCTTGTTTGCTGGTTGTACTTAATCATGTTTGTTAAAAAATTCTAACCCATTTTGTAATTAAATAATTCTTGTATTATGTTTCAAATAATATTTAAAATTGCACATTTTAAGCATTTTTTGTTTTTTAATTATTATTTGATTAGCTATCTTATTTTAATCAAGTAAGAAACGGTATTATCAGAAGCTACATAGCTGATGATATTTTCATAGACGAAACGTAGTAAAATGGTAAAGTGTAACATATCGTTGTATTTATCTATACAAAAGCAATAAAAAATTACAGTTAAAAATCCAGGTCCGTATTTAAAAAAATAATTTGAAGGTGGCCCTGCAAATACGAAACGTCGTAATAAAACTTTTGATCTGGCAGATTATAGGGAACTTGATTTATAACAAAAACTTCGTAATTTTTTTTGTATCTTTTATAATAACAACGCACAACTTAAAAAACGAAAATGAGGTTTTTCGGATTTTATCGAATATCTTTGGAACCAGTTAAAAAATCTGGAACTTCTATAGAACATTGTATTATACGTCAAAATACGAAACTTTTTCCCCATTTAACCGACAATGTATATCTTACGGTTTACGAGATCTCTGTATACGCAAATTAAATCCAGTCCACCCTGTATTCCAAAGACAAAAGGGCAATACAGATTTTTAAAATAACAGCAATGGTAACTTAAAAACAAAACACGAATTTAAATTTTATATTATTAAGATCAGGTTGGAATACAATTTTTACTGGACCATTTCTTAAGACATTTTAGTTATTTATTTAAAATATTTTTAAAAATTATTTGTTTTAAATTATATATGTTAAATAAGTTTATACTTTATATAGCTTTTGTGATCTAACAAATTAGATACGAAAAAGGAAACATTACACATCAGTAGGAATCATTTTTGTGATCTTTATTGAGGATTTTTATCTCATTTATCGTAACTTTAATTATTAATAATCTACAAATAGTATATAAATATTTTCTACATTATCATAGTATATGTAAATTATCCGTTAAGCCCAGTTTACACTTGCTAACAGAATTCTAAATCTACTTTTAGAAGCATCTAGTTATTAATGAAATGAAACCACAAATGTAAATGGGGCACATCTACAATCCATAGCAGTAAACTATTTTTTCGTGATAAATTTCCTCGTAGTAGAAAAATAAATGAACAATCTTGACCTGTAAATACTTGTGTGTAAAGAAATAAACGGACATATCATATACATAAACAAAGAAAAAATGATTTATTTGTAAATTTTGAAATATCTTTAGAAATGGGTGTCAAAGATATTTAAATGTGTTATTTGAAATTTAGACCGTAGTATTATTGATACTGTTTTACTACTATTGTAGATCTGGGTAGATTCATCAAAAGTCAATTTAAGGAAACATGAACTCATTTATTGATTTCCCAATACAAATAGCGCACAGCAGTAGGTACTTGATTTATTTTTGTATCTATTTCTATTTATTAATTTCTCTATTTAATTTGTACAGCTCATTATTGTTAAAAACAAAAACTTTTGATAAATCTACTTAGATTGCAGTAATGAAAACTATTTATTGTAAAGTAACAAATTATTAGAATTTTCATGCGAGACCAAATTGTTTAGTTTGATGTTTAACATTTATATTTAAATTCATTAAAACTAATTTTGTTATTTTGAACTCTAGATTTATTAAAATACATCATTAAGAATTAAAGAATGTAAATGTCATGGAAAATGTTGTATTAGAAATTTGGTGAACTTTACTTGAAAGTAAAGTTTTGTAAATAAACTGTCACCAAAATATTTATTAAAATAAAAAATGGTGGGTTTGCTTATTAATAATTTTTTATGTTAGAACATACACCAAATTCTTGAATTATATAAATTTCAAAATTTGGTGGATGAATTTGTTATATAACATCCACCAAATATTAACTTCCATTATTTGGAATTTATACCAAAAAAAAGAAGAATATTTATTTCGTTATCGTCTAAGTGTTTGATTAAATAAAAAGAGTTTATAACAGCTGATGTTTTTTGTGAATCATGTTCTATTTTACTGTAAATAGCTTGGAACTGAAATTATGAACTTGTTATATATAATTTTCCATGTGTAGATGGAAGAAATGATAACATACATAATATATATGAATATTTGCATGTACTTTAACAAAAGCAGGCATTATTTTTCCAAACTATCATTTTGATCTTTAATACATATCCGAAGAATAAAGTAATTACTTCATTTTGTTCCTTTTTTTCTGTGACATTTATGCAAAGGTTCACGAGAAGTTACACGGTGCAGTTTCTATCAAAACTAATGAAAACTAAAATTGTACAAAGTTTTTCGATACTTAAATAAATACTATTATTTTAAATTAAGTATCTTGAAAATATTTTCTGTGTAACTGTCAAAAGTAACACTTTTTTTAGTGTTAACATTCACAAAAATAGAGTTAAAAATAAGTAATATTGTTTTACAGTTCAAATTTTAGAACGACTACATATAGACCGGGAGATGATGACAGATGCAGCTTGATGATTTTCTCGTTCATGCCTCCAAAGGAACTGAGAAATCCGTAGGGGCTAAGGCAAACGATGTAGTATTTAGACGTGTTTGGCGTGCTTATCCTAATGAAAATTGGGTTTTCATGAACACATAAAGTATGTATTTATGGACGATTTCATCGGCGCTGCTATATGCATCAATGGCTAGTTAAAATAGAGTGATAGGCATAAGTATTCCGGGTGACCAAAACGGTAAAACGATGACGTGAACTTGTAAAAAGACACGTTGTTTGGCTTTTTTTCTCGCTGCTGCCAAATGGCAGTTTGATTGCTTTCATGTAGAAACGTTGAAAAACAAATATTGGCATGAGTACTGCCAATGCCAAAGTAGGATAAACTGTTGGAAAATGATATAGATTTTTCAGAGGGTTTTCCGATGATTTTGTAATTATTAAGATGAAGTGCAATATTAATTTTATTATGTATATCTGCATTATATAAAATGGCAGAAGTGTCGGATATCCCTATTTATTAAAAAATAATTATTAAAGTTGTAGAAAAACAGATGAAAATTTGGACCATGTTGTTTTTCATGCCTTTTTGCAAGTGTCTTCAGGAAATTATTTCACTGCTCAACACTAATTGTATTGCCAACAATACCTGAGCGATTTTTAGGTAATTTTGTGGTACTCATTACGAATATTAAGTCCCTTTAGTTAAATTGACTCTATTTTTGGAGATATATTAGAAAATTATGATAAAATAAAGAAATAAATCACTTTAAAAGACCAGTAGTGCCCATAAACTTGCTTATCGGGTAGTAAAAATAACAGTGTTGTCGAAAAATCAGAACTAAAAAACAATAAATAATGATTTATTAGGTATTATAACAAAGAAATAAAATTTAATTTGGAAAATTATATCTAATTCGTATGGAAGAAGCTCTTTTTATACGATTTTCTTTTATGGGGACTGTCAGCAATAGTCTGCCATCCTATGCTTAACCCATCGGCCCTAAAATCTTTTCTCCATCGCCTTTATATCCTGGTGGAATCTTTCCCCTTGTTCCTTACTTAAGTCGTCAATATTGTCGGGAAATTTATTCAAGTGACTATGAAGAAAGTAGTATACTTTATTACTCATATTAGTACCTAAGTTTTTCAAGTTCAATAACATTTGTTGCACCAGTTGCTCGTAATTATCCGCTTTGTGGTTACCCAAGAAGTTCTTAATCACCGAAACAAAGCTACACCAAGCAGCAGCTTCAAGTGCCGTCATGTGATTTGTAAAATTAGACTCCTTAATAAGTTTGCATCAAAAATGCCCGCTTTTAGCTTTTCCATACTTAGCCTAGAAAACGATCTACATATGTATTTGAAGCACTCACCATCTTTATTCGAAGTTTCATTAGTCCTAATTTGATGTGGAGCGGTGGTGGAATGATTTTTTCACGGTCAATCAATAGTTTGTTTGACATTTGCTGTTCCTACAATCATATTTTGTCTTATTGGCCAATTAATCCTCTTCCAATGATCTTACTTCGCCCTACTATCCCACAAGAAGATACAACAAAGGTGTTTCGTGTATCCACCTTGCTGCCCAAGCAAGAAGTTCACCATTTTTAGATCTACACAAATGAAAAATTGATGCTCTTCATAGAAGAGTTTCTGCAATACTAACTTAATGTTTTAATATTCTTCTTTAAGTTTTGTTGAGTGGGCGATAGGAATTAAAGCATATCGGTTGCCATTGTATAGCCAAACACACTTTAAGCTTCTGCTGGAACTGTATATGCACAGGCGCCAGTCACTTGGAACAAATTGAATTCTTATTTGACGAAGAAGTTCGGGAATATTGTTGCAATAAAAAAGATCTTAATCTTAACTGAAGTAAGGAACAAGTTTAACCTCTCGTGTTCTATAAATTGTTATTTTTATATCTGGCTGTATACGATTTTTTTTTTTTGACCTAGATGCTAGAAGTTCAGATGCTTGCCTTGATAGACCGAGGTCCCGAATCAGGTCATTCAGTTCTTAGGAGAACTGCTAGGGTGTTGATTGCATTTTCATGTTTACTGCTGTTACTGTACTGGTCATCAATTTTTTCTACTTCTGATATCGAAACATCTGACAATGTGATACATACTAGTACGGGAATCTCTTCGTTATGTGGTATAGGTCTTCGTGCTAATTTTAAATCAGGATATTCCCATTTGCCCTTCTTGTGTCTGATAAAACCTTTTACATTAACTGAACAAAAATAACAATCGTCGTGGTGATTTTTGGATTCTCTCCACACTATGGGCACTCTAAATTTTAAACATTTTCTCTTTTGGTTTGTCCATTGTCGTAAAGATTCGACACATATTTTTCACACTATATGGGTATCCCAGAACTTGTCTTTATCTCCAAGCACTACGCCGAAATTACCTTGATAAGCTTACCTTACAAAATCTGAGCAGAAGACATTGGGGTGATTCAACCAGCTTCTTTGTGAAGAACTCATTCCTCTGAAAAACAAGTGTAACTTTGTTTTTATTAAATTATATACAAATATGCGTCACATGTACGTACCTTATACTTTACGTCTTTTACGTGGTCAACAGCCAGCATGTGATTAGTCAGGGTCGAACTCTCGTTTTGTGCAAAATGTGTTATTTGTCAAATCTTAAAAAATAAAAAGCATCTGTTATGACTAAATTTCTTAAAAAAATGATGGTATCCACTATCTCAAAAATAAGAACCAATTTGGAAAAACTGCTTTTATTTTTTTAATTCAGCAGAGCTGAATTACCCTATATTCGTTCAAAACTACTTGGCAACAAAATATTTTTGAAAATTTTAGGGCGGTGTTTTAGGCTCATATAAGCGGTTTTTAAAGCTCATATAACAAAAGGCATAACAATAAATAATATCAAACGTAAAAAAATTAAAATGATCGCAAATATTTAGGGAGCATGTCATTCATGTTTTTATTTTTTTTATTATTATTTTTTAAATGAAAAAAATTATTTTAAATCCCTATTACAAAAGCCATGGCGTTCAAAGTGACCTAACGTGTTTAAATACCCAGCTTAATATTATATGGTGTGGATGTTGGCGGCTATGGCAGCGCCATTTCACGAGAAGTTAAGTCTATAGAAACCACCATCTTTATTGAACACAAATAATATCACTGTATTTTCATATATTTGCCAAGTTATAAAAAAAAAATTACTGATAAAATAATTTAATGAATAACAATCTATAATTTATTATCCATTTTAAATAAACATGGTTTTGATTACATTTTTAACAGTGTCAAGAAGTTTATAAGAGGTAACTTTTTATTTTATTTAAACATTAATGTCTTCCAATAGCAGTGACACTTCATCTCAAATATGCAGTGAACAAAAAAATGCCATGACTGCTTTAGCCAAGTAAACAATAGTGAAACGGACTAACGGCATACTAACAAAAGTAATTAAAATAAACATACTTTTTCACCATTATAAGTAACAAATTATGAAGATAAATTTAAATCTAAAAAATTTAAATACCTTGGTAAATTTATCTGGTTGAAAAATAGCACAATACATCTTAAAATATATTAAACCTTGTTTACTAGCAAATAAAAAAATTGATCCATAATTATATTTTCATTCAACTAGGAAAAATCGTAAATAAATCATAATTACAATAAAAACCCAATAATTAAAAATTTGTTAATTAAAAAAAAAATATTTATGAGCTATTATTACAACATTTTCATTTATCATTTTCAATTATTTAAAAAAAAAACAATAAAAATCTGTTTCAAACACATCCACTTTCCAGTGAATAATTTAAATAATCAATTTTATTAAACATGTTGAGTATGGTCTATCTAATTATAAAGAATTTACAGGATAAATTAAATATATAAATTTATAGGATTAAAATTATAGAGAATGACATCACAAGCAACTTCTATTTAAAGAATTTTTTCTTATTTTTGCACTGTTTCTTATATTTCTCGAATACGGCTCATTTAAGGAAAATTATGAATATAATTATATAGAATGACATTACAAGCAACTTTGATTTTACGGATTTTTTTCTCCAATCGTAAATATGAGAAATATTCCAAAAAGTAGAAAACGAAAAACAATAAAGTATCCCATGTTCGGCATTGTCATTTGTTATGCTTTTTGATATATATGCCTAAAATAACTTCCTAAAGTCACTTACAAAAAGGCGTTAAAAACAACATCATCCAAATATTTATACGTTTTTCTGCAACTTTAACCCTTATACCTTCGTTAGGAGCGCATTCAACCACAAAGCCTTTTTATCATACTATAGAATATAGCATAATCCACATATGCTTCGAAAGGCATAAGAAATGAACTCATCGGAAAACCCTCTGGAAAATCTACATGTTTTCCAACAGTTTATCCTACTATGGTATTGGTAGTACTTATGCCAGTATTTTTTTTTTCAACGTTTATATGAAAGCATTCAAACTGTCATTTGGCAGCAACGAGGAAAACACCGAAAATGTCTGTTTTTTACAAGGCAACGTCATGGTTTTACCCTTTTGGTTACTCGCAACACTTATGCCTATCACTTCTGCTTACCTACTAGTGTACATTTTAAATGGCTGTTAATGCACATGGCGTCAACAAACACATGTTTTATGTGTTCATGAAAAACAAATTTTCATTATGATGGTCACGCCGAACACGCCCAAATAATACATCGTTTGACTTAGACCATACGGACTTTAGACTCACTACCTTTAGAGGCATGAACGACAAAATCATTAAGTACCATCTCTCATCTCCCGGTCTAATAATATTATTAAAGTTTCCATTGTTACAAATGTCAAAGTGATGCAATACAATACCATACAATGAATCGAAATGCACCAATTTATTCTAATTGGCATTATTGTTGGTAAAGCTTGATATTTTGATAGGTTTTACGACATTGGATTAAATCTTTAACAATCTTATTCGTCACTACAAAAACAAATTGTCCGCTCTTAATACAAGAATAACTATTAAATTTTAGGATTAACATTAGTTTTGAAAGTAAATCTGTAACTGGTACTAATTGGGAACAGTAATTTTCAAGTGTAAAAATATTATATTTAATTTTTTTTTGAATTATATCATATCGCTTTTAATCTTCTGTAATAACTACTAATATTATTTTTATAACTTAACAAGGAAGAGGAAAATGCAGCATGACCAATGTTCCCTTTGTCATACAATCATTAAAAAGAAAGTATAAAATATGCCTTTTATGACATTATTATAGAGCTTTCATTTCGGTAGTGTTGCTGATGATGTTATGTACCTCTATGTAAGTAAAAAAAGTACTCTTATTATGTACTAATCATTGGTAATATATGTCCTCCATTATATTTTGCTTTTTATTTATATCCTTTTATGTAAAACTTTGTTTTGTCAGTGCAATATCAATGTTAATGAGAAAGAATCACTTACAAAGATTAAAAAAAAGATTTATTCAGAACTCTAAGGCTGGCCGCAATCGTTTTACATTTTCATTTTCAGATTTCGAATAACGAAAAAAAAATGCTACTTAATGTGTAAATTTTGTAAAACTTTGGACGAGAAGATACTATTTTATGTGTAAATTATTTAAGCCAAATAAATATACAGAGAAGGATACTTTAAGTGTTAACTCTGATCTTATACTTAGCCCAGCTAACCGTAACTCGAATAATTCTACTTAATGTGTAAATTTCGCAACACTTTGACCACGAAAGATAATATTTCATATGAAAATTCTGCATTGTAAACAAATAAATGTACAAAGGCTGCTGCTTTATGTGTTAAATCTGATCTTATACTTATAAGATGCTAGCCCACCTAACCGCAATGCGAAAAAGGCTACTTGAAGTGTAAACTTCGAAAAACTTTGAAAGCAGGATAATAATAATAATAATAATAAACCTTCATTCACACACAAAAAATAGAATAGCATAAAAAATTACACAAATAATATTGTGTAAGAATGTAGGTACTATGTAAATTCTGCATTATAGACAAATGTACAAAAGAGGCTGCTTTATCTGGAAACTCTGGTCTTATGCTTATAAAATATAAGGACGCAAAAATGCTACGCAAAGCTTATTGATTATATTACTGTATGGGTAAATGCTACATCTTAAAAAAAATGTCTCTTTATATGCACATGAATTAGCCATTGTTTTATTATAGATTTAAGTTGATTCAGAATTAGAATCGGACATTAAATTCGTTATCTTTACTAGAACATAGACGTTCGAGTAGCAAGAATGAAATTCAGTATCAAGATAATCTTGCAACGGATCCTAATAGCAACACCTCTCTCAGAAAACCAATCAGCGAAGAAATGGTAAAAAGTTGGGAAAATATTTGCAAGACGGTTTAGAGAATGGCAAAATATCAAAGTTTCTTTGCAAAATCAAAATCTGGAATACTTTCACTTGGTTCCCCCACCTTAAACCCCGAACCAAATAGTTTAGTGAGTAGTCACGTCATCAAATAAAAGCGACAGCTATTTATATATGCTGCAAGACCAACCTAAAAGGTGATGGGAAGTTAAGCTGAACCTCTGTAAACTAGGCTTGAAGGGAACAGAAATAGACGCATCAAAACAAATGCAAATGTGACAAAAGTATTACCAGATATCTACCATAGAATATATGCATCGTAGGTATCTTATATATTCGTCTTTAAACACAAATGTGAAAAATATGACAGAAAAAGCAGATATCGAGGGTTTTTCATTTTGGAAAGAATCTTGTAGAGATATGGAAGTCAGACAAAGCATTTGAAAAAACTGGCATACATTTAATTTAAAGGCACCAACTAAAAGCAAACAATAATTTCAATCAGTCTTTAAACTTCAGGAGCCTACTTTTAAATAGCGACTGAAGAAAACCAGGCCAAAGAAACAGCAGGAGAAATACGAAACCCAAAGGACGAACCAACAAAAATTCAGAAAAACAGAGAGGGGAGAAGGAGTTATTAGAGAATAAAATAAAGGTAAGAGATTGTTGGTAGACTAAATAAATTTGTCAAACATATGGGCTAAACTTAACTAATGATAAGAAGGTCCTAAGATACGTTAATGGTTTAAAATTATTCTTTAAAATACAAAAGAGCTTTCACCAAAGGATGTTTTCTCTTAGAGAAAAAACTAACGTACATACTTCAATTAAAAAAAAAACTTGTACTAAAGAATGCAACAGGTGTTTGCTTGCTAAAGAAAATTAGTTTGGTTCTCATATTTTTTAAGAGCCAAATGAAATGATTCATCTAGATTCATCTTTAACAAATATATAGATCCTCACATTTCAAACTGGAAGATCTCAGGTCTGCCCAGAATATTTTTTTACAGAACAGTTTTATGTCAAAAATGTAATCCTTGCCTCTTATCTCATCTCAATACATAAGAAATCGGTTCTTTAAAAAAAAATAATAACTTACGAATTTGAGTTTCTTACATTTGATTTGACCATTTGCTACATAT